AGGTAGGTAGGTAGGTAGGTAGGTAGGTAGGAAGGAAGGAAGGAAGGTAGGCAGGTAGGTAGGTAGGTAGGTAGGTAGGTAGGGAGGCAGGCAGGCAGGCAGGCAGGCAGGCAGGCAGGCAGGCAGGCAGGGCCGGGCCGGTAGATAGATAGGTAGGTAGGTGGGTGGGTGGGTGGGTAGGTAGGTAGGCAGGCAGGCAGGCAGGCAGTCAGGCAGGGAGGGAGGGAGGGAAGGCAGGTAGGAAAGCAGGTAGTACATTGATTAGAGGCTCATTGCCATGGGCCTGTTCCGATCACACACACATGCTTTACTGAACTGCAGCAATGAACTTCTCAACACCTCAGGATCAAGTCTGCTACGTAGCTTTAGGGCGTTAGGGTCAAAGTCTTTACCCCGTATATGATGCAAACCCTTGTGCTTGTTGCTGCCATTCGTCTCGAGGCCTTCCTCAAAGCTCACACCTAACAGACCCAAACAAACCCTTAAATTACCCAAAAAAGCTTAAACCCTGAAGCCCAAAGGCCGCAAAGGCCCAATTGTGGTGGCCCCGGGTGGCAATAAAGCTCTAGCATCAGGACTTCTAGAATCCCGTCTAAGCCCCGAGATTGGAGACCAAAGCCCGAAAGAACCAGCCCGAACCGATCTACAACCCCTTCTCCCTACCCATGCCCTTCATCCCAAGCCCACTACATTAGCAACACCTAGGCCCGAACCCTCAGCCCGAAACCCGTAAAAAGCAACCTGAAGCCCGATCTCGGGACTTGAACCCGGGCCGCTGGTTTAAGGAGGAAGCGCCCGGAAGGCTCTCGAGCCACCTCTGCAGCATTAGGGTTCAAGTGGGTTTTTGCCCTCCTACCTAGCAAAGGCGAGCCGCGCTGCAGGCTATTAGGTGGAGTTTGGGGCTTAGGGTTTTTTGACACTCACACTCGGACAAGCCTGGCAAGGTCTGGGCTTAGGGGGCCTCTTTCTGCACCGGTACAGCCTCAATAGGTACCATATATGGCTATGATCCTCCATACTGTCATGTACCCCCGAAGGGGTGCGAAGGGCACTTGAAAATCTGTAGCTGCGTCGCTGGCAAACCTACACCCAAGTCTCTTTCACTCTCTGTCTGTGCCTGCCTGCCTCTCTCTCGCTCTCTCTCTCTCTCTCTCTCTCTCTCTCTCTTCTGGAACCCAAAGAAGCCTCCAGATAGCAATCCTGGAGTTTCAAGCTTAGACCCCAATTAAACTATACAAGCCCGAAGCCCAAATATGTGTCGGAAGCCAAGCCGAAAATCAAAACGAAAAAATCGAGATGCTGAAACAAACCTCAGTTGAGATACTGCCCGCGCGAAGCGCCGAAGAGTGCCAAAGCGACCAGCACCATCAGCAGCCCTGGATACTCGGATATCTTCAGGGCTTCTGGGCTGCCTGTAAAGTATTATATACTGGTTTCGGGTTTGGGGGACTCCACGGCCCTCAGCGCCGTCGAGTTTTGACCGTCGAGACCTAGGGTTTTAGGGTTTATGGGCTCTGTATTTAGGGTTTGAGGTTTCGGTGTTTGGGCTCTACTAGATAGATGTTTACGAGCGAAATGTCCATTCCCAAACCTTCCGATCTCAATGTGCAATGTGCGCAATGTGCACATCTGTAGGTCTATAGGGAATACCGCAACAGAAGAGTACCAGCACCGTACCCCAGAATCTCTTGCCTCCTCCTCCGCAATGCCAAAGGGGTAACAACGGCTCGCCCTTCGAGGCCAATAGTCCCTTCTCACAAGAGCCCAAGAAATACATGCAGGTTTTCTACTCTTTGCAGCAAACCCTGGAGATCAAGACTTGTGACGCCTGGCCAGCGCAAGTTCCGGGCAGCAGCAGGAACGGAACTGCGTGGGAGCCCACACAGCCGGAGAAACCTCGCAATGTCAGAACCGGGACAAACGGATCTCATCTCATCCCTCCAGAACCCCTAATAACTTCGGATTTAAGGTGTAGGCGAGAAGCTTCTACTTTCCTGAGCCAGAAGTAATGAGCCATCACAATCATCTATTGCGAACGAAAGAAAATGGTCCTGCCACGAGACAACACCTGCAGCGCAACCCCGCGCGCATGGTGGACCCACCAGGCACCAACATTCGGTGACGTGCTGTTGAAGCCGAAAGCAACGATCGCCGCGACAGTAGCCAGCATAGCCCCATGAGGCAGGCAAAGTACAGACGTGGTCAGCGTGAAGGCCTGCAGTGGAAGAGGCTCATAACATCAGGGCGGAACAATTGAACCCTGAACTGGCCCACTCTAAACCCCAAAGCGCGCGCCTGAATCTCCAACTGGAAGTTCCAAAGGTTCACGCATGGGTTGCCATTGCCTGACATCAGAATTCAGAGTGTTCCTGTGGGGGCTTAGGGGCTTCAAGCTTTGAGCTGTTTTCACGAACACCCGTAGAGCGCAAGATCATGATGTCCCTTCAATAACCAGCTGTGCCCAATCGGGGCGCCGTTGTTCAAGTTTTGGGTTCTCTTCAAGTTCTCTTCCTCCTGCCTAGCAATTTAAGCTTCAGGGTTGTTTGCCTCGGTACACTTCTCGGATGTTTTGTGATCCTCTCGCAGGGGCCATGCTGTTGAAGGTTTCAGCACTCATTCTTCGGACTTAGGTTTTTTGACGCTCACACCCGGACAAGCCTGGCAAGGTCTGTAGCGATACTGGTCCAGCACGAAAGCAAGCAAAACAGACATCAGTACATGTGACCACGTCCGCGGTTGTCAGGTAGGACTTGCGACAAGCCAACAACAATTACCCCCTTAGGTTTAGGGTTTCGGGCTCAGGCTTTCAATTTCTCCAAATCGGCCGCTGACACAGAAGAGACAGCAGGCATACTCGAAGGGGTTTGGATCATGATTTAGATACACCTTGGGCAACAAAACAAAGCCTTACCGCCCCTAGGGTTCATACGACCATAAACTATAAACATGATAAACAACTCCCACGGGTCCTTAAGAAAGGGGACTCCAGTTTGTCGACTCCTCTGCTTGTATTAGAGCGATTTGCAGAAAGCACACAGATGCGTCTGTGCAAGGGTGTCCGCAAACTCACCTACACCCTAAACCCTGCATCACTGCATTCCCTAAACCTAAGCACATTCTGAGAACCCAGGCCATTAGTCGTAAGAGCATGACAAGATCCAGCACTGGGGCTTCATGCTTACAGCTGCAAGCCTAAACCCTAAGCCCTGGGATTCATTCGGAACGCCGGGGGTACATAACATCACTGCCAAACTGGTCGGGCTTCCATTCCGCCAGTCTTCATCAAAGTCCTGGAAGATCAGAGCGCCCACGTCACCCAGCAGGAAGGAGTATCGCCACTTCCGCTGCATGCATTTGCCGGTAGCATGGTACCTCAGATATAGTGTGATCCCGTAAACCCTATAGAGCTCCAAAACAGTTCGTCGTAAAACGACTTCTCAAGGCGTATATTGTAAGGGTGGCACTCGAAAATGCGCGGAGCAACTCGGCTTCTCCCGAACGTGATTTACTCCATTAGGGTTTGCGGATTTCAAGGTTTTGGATTTTAGGAATTAGAAGCAGCTTCAAGAACAGAAAAGCCATGCTCTGAATCATGTGGAGTGGTGCCAGCGTATGCCAAACCACGGAAAGGCGTGGTTGTAGGGGTTGTACACCACCTGCTCCCATCGCGACCACATGCTCTCAACAGCCCGACCAACTTTCAGATGTATGCAGTACAAGTACCCGCCATATACCCTGCTACAAGTAAGCCCTAAATACGCACATACATACTTGAACTAACCCCGGCACATACACCCTCATCTGTGTATGTACACATATACATATGTACATGTAAATAGTATATATATATATGTGTGTGTGTGTGTGTATGTATATGTTATACACATGTACGTGCACATGCACATGTGCCAGCAAGATAGACAGGCAGACAGACAGACAGACACGCAGACACGCAGACGCAGACGTAGACAGGCAGGCAGGCACCGCGAAACTCTACAGTTCATATACACACAGTAAAACACACAGGCCTATGTATGTATACATGTGTATATACAAATCTGTATCTATCTATCAACAGTGCAAGTTCACATGCTGATTTCGAAGGGCCATGCGAGTTTGTGCCAAACGCCCAGGACTTCAACCCAGCATTTACGGGCTTTAGGGGATATACGGTAACGGTTCTCTAAGTGTTGCCGTGGGCCTTACCATTAGGTTGACAGTAAGGCTGCTAAGCATGCGGTTTCATTTGGGTTATGTAAGGCGCATTCGGCAAGACGTCGAGGTAGAACCAGTTCCAGAAGAGGCAAACCGGCAGCTGCCGAAGATACTTCAGCCAAGACCTCGCTTTCTTGATCTCGGGACGAGCAGTTTGTGGTAGATTCCTGTATGTTATGGTATCTTGTAGTATCTTATCGTATAACAACAGTATATGATAGTATATATTGGGGGCGAAGTCCCCAAAGTCTAAGCATGAAGGATTGATTGCACATCGACATATTCCCTCACGATTACCCGCCACTTATTCTTCTTACTCATCAGATCTGTATTGACATGCTCCTCGCCGGGCCCGTGCTCATGGCTGTCTTGCGAAGCTGCAGTTCTCGTCACACGCAATCCAGCAGAGGATCTCCGAATGAGGACCGAATCCCTTAATGCAGAAGCCTTAAAATTAGAATAGGGGTTTAGGGTTCCAAAATGTAGATATAACAAGGAACCCTGAGGAATATCATGAGCAGTTAATATTGAGGCTTCTATATTAGTCGAAGCCGCCGCCAGAGACCCCGCCGCAAGCGCGTATGGAAGGACCGTGCAGGCTGACCGCTGGCACATGGCGCCACCTCTGTTCGAGACCCCACAAGCCCCGAAAACCCACAACATGAGATCTGGACTTGCAGACGGAAGGTCTGGATGTCAGGTTTGCGGCTTGGCTTGGAGTTTTGATAGGATCAAGGCTAGACGTTGAGATTTGAGCGGAAGCTTGAAGCTTGCAGGTTGCAGGCAGGAACCCTGGCTGTGAGGAGAGATGTTGTTTAACATAGAAGCTTCCTCAGGCTCTTCTTTTTTTGCTCTGGGGCTCCATGCATGGATTTGCCCGGTGCATAGATGGCATTGCCGCTATGCATGTAGCAGCCTCGCATGTAACACCACCAGTTTCGATTCCGAAGAGCCGGCAAAATCAGGTAAAGCGCGCCTGTCACGCACGCACTCATGAGACTCACTCAGCGTACTGCGCAGCTATGCTCGAAAACTTACAACAGATGACCAAGGCAAACAACAAGAACACGGCTCAAAATTGAAATTAAAGTACAACTATTGCGGTGTTTCCTGATCTTCTTCGGTTTCATGCACGGCTTCGGTTCGACTTAGTCTTTCTTGTTTTTGTAGAGGTGACCATTGACAATTTGAAACCCTATCCTATAATAAAAGGACCCCATGAGCAATCTTTCGAAACCCTCGAACACCCTGAACATGAAACCCTACCGCATGTAATCCCATACGAAACCTGAAGCCCTGAACCCGCGAGATCCTAAACGCATCCCCAACCGACCTCCGACTTCACATAGCTCCAGACGCAGAGGTATGTGGAGAGCCTGGTTTAAGGTGGCTTGAGGAGTGTCTTTTGCAGGCTTATGTAATAGCTTCAGGGCTTTGGGTATTATGAGGCTTCACGGTTCGTGGGTGTTTTACATCGATATAGAGTTGTTGATGATATGGCCGGAATAACTACAAGTAGATGAAAAATAAACTCTATGTTTTCAGCCGCACCGGACAATCCCGCAAATCCCACACCTGCCTTTTGCTCGAACTTCGAGTTTGTCCGTCTAGGGAGCAGGTGTCGCTGCTGTAAAGGATACGAACACTCAGGCAAGTGCCTTGCACCTGTAGATATATAAATACACATGCATGCATGCATGCATGCATCGATCCATACATACATACATACATACATACCATACCATACCATCCCATCCCATCCCATCCCATCCCATCCCATCCCATCCCATGCCATGCCA